GAATCAATAAAAACATTTCCTTGGGTGAAGACTAAAAAAAAAACCCTGTACCCTAAAACATGTTAGTAAAGGACTACAAAGAGAAACATATCTGTTGGAAGCATTCCCTCTAAATAATTAAACAACAGACCAAGAATTTTAATCAACCCATTATTTCCCCATGGAGTTACAGCGGCACAACTTAATTCTACCAGGTTCTTCTTTCCTCACTTAAACCAGAGCAGCCCCATTATTACCCGTTTTATATTTTCTCCATAAACTGAANAAACGAAATGTAACTTAATTCTACCAGGTTCTTCTTTCCTCACTTAAACCAGAGCAGCCCCATTATTACCCGTTTTATATTTTCTCCATAAACTGAAAGGGTCATCAACTTTACGGAGTGTGAAAACCACAGCGTCAGACTATGGGATTTCACCTTCGGAGAAATAAGGGTCACGGCTGTAGGACACAATGAAGCAGAAGTTAACTGAAGCTCTGATTCCTTCCTGTCCACCCTGCGGCTCCGCTGCTTTCCCAGGGAATCCTCCGTTAGCAGCTCCAAGACACACGGAGTGAGTGTCACAGACACTCCCTAAAGCTGGTCACAAAGACAGAACAAAGAGGGTTCGCCCTCCTAATCCTTCTTACCTCCCCCCTCACTGACTGGATGTTACGACACCCAGTTTTATGTGACAACTGATTAGCATTACCTCCGTTTTTCCTTAGATACATCCTTTGACAGATGGATAAATTATCCAACTGTGTGACTTCCAGTTGGGTGGCTAGAATTTTATCGCTGTTATTGTCATCATCAGCCTGTAACAGTTACGGGGCAAACACTGCTATGCAGTCAATTAAAGCAGGAACAGCTGATTTTTCCAATTTCATTTCTTTTACTTAATCATAACCAGTTCATAAGCTTGGAAATATTAATTGGGAGAGTGAAGTCGAGTGAGAAGTAGGAATAATGGGCAGACGGAGTATTAACAAAAGAACCACAGAACTTCATCTGTAAACCCTTGAAACAGTCAAATTTCCATGAGGATTAATTCACTGTGAAAGAACTTCCATCTCAGATTTAGAGTGAGACCTGCCAGTGAGGGCACAGTGCCAGCGAGCAAGTGTGGAGGGCCAACGCTCTCATACTCCCATAGCTGGGAGCAGGGAAAGTCTCTGCTGGGTGGCTATGTGCTGAAAATGCACAAATATTGCATATTACTCACCAAGGGCACCTAACAAGAGTAGAAGCCACGTTCAGCAGCAACAAGGACGCTCCTGGGAATGTTGCACCTGCTGACCCTTGGGACGCAGCATTAAGTCCGCATATAAGCTGGTGCATACTCGTGTTACTCTGCCATCTGCAGTGTTAGTCCTTGAAACCCTCATTCCACTCTCTCACCTACTTATTTATACATTCACACAATTTACACTGCAGACGTGAGCCAGGCTGTGGACAAAAGCCAGGACTGCCGGGTTGAACCATGATTCCAGGGGACATCACTGAACTGCTCTCCATGACAGTCATGGTCACCGGGCAGGACTGGAAGATGTAACCGGTTCAGCTAGGTTTTGGCTAAGTTGAAAGGTATCAGTGTTTAGTGAAAAGAATAGGGGCTGGGGAATCACACAGCCCTGGATTCAAACCCTAACCATGTATATAAGTTGTGCAATCTCAGTCACGATGTTTAGCTCTGGTTTTAGCTTTTCAATCCATAAAAAGGGTATCTTAAGACCAATCCTTCAGAGTTATGGTAAGGAGTACAGATAGATATATAGCCAGGGTTGGCAAACTTTTTCCACAAAGAGGCAGATAATAAATATTTTAGGCTTTGCAGTCTATCTATAGTCTCTGCCCTAACTACTCAACTCTGCCATAGCTCAAAAGCAATCATAGATGATACATAAATCAATGAGCGTAAATATGTTCCAATAAAATTTTATTTACAAGAACAGGCAACAGGCCAGCTTTGGGCTACTGGCTGTAGTTTGCCGAGCCCTGATGCAGGCAAAGGCCCAGCATAGATGATGATTTCAGCACAGGATAAGCAGGTCTACTCTTGCCATCATATCCAGAAAGATTTTACACAGGACATGGGTTAACTGTACTGGGAGGGCTGTCTTAGCAAAACCAATCATAACACCAAGACCTCTCTTAGAAAATAAGTGCTTTGAGGAAACACGCTGAGAGATTTCATCTGGGCACTGAACCAAGGCACTCACCCACTCAACCAGCCATTCAACCAACATTTGAGCACCTACTGTGTGCAAAGAATGATGGATGCTCAGGAAGATCTGGCAAAGAATAAGAGATAGCTGCTTTCATTTTATTCATGAAATGAAAGGGAGAAAAAGAAAATTAACATTGATCATTTCTCTATTTAGTCTACCTGTCATTATAATCTTAAAATAGCCATTCTTAACCTTGTTTTATGGTTCAGAAAATGGGGGTTCAGAAAGATTTCATAGCCTCTTTGGTCATGTCAAGGCCACACAGCTAAAATCTGTTGGAAATGATTCAAACCCAAATCCATCTGACGCCCAAGACCAAATTCCTTCCAACACACTCTGGTCTCAAAAGATCAGAGCAAAGCTGTTTCTCAATCTTTTCGGGATTATAAATGCACAAAAACCTGGCAAAAGACCCATTTCCATGAAAATAACTTCAGGCAACTCACAGCCCCACCAGCCAAATCCCAACTCCACATGGATCCCGTGTTAATACCCCTGCTCTCAGGGGAAAGGACCCTGCCCAACATGGCAGAAACTTTAGTGTCTGCCTCAGAGCAGAAGGCCATGTTCCCCGGGCTTAGGGTTCCGCTAGGATGGACGGTAGCTTCATGTGCGTGTGTGCAGTGCATGCATGCGTGTGGAAGGTGTGGGGGATGCTGACTCTCCTCAGGATCCAAGGCCTCTCATCCCCGCAGGCCTAGTGGTCCTAGATCAGCGTCACAAGCCTCAGATCCTGACTTCGATGGGAAAGGAACAAATGCAGGAAATGAATGAAGCACAACTGATTCCACTGCATGCTCTGTGACACCATGAAAACCCTGCTGCCCGATTTCTTAAAGGTGATTTTAACAGACGAGAGTAACAGCGCCCGTCAACGGGTCTAAGAATGAAATTGACAACGAAGAGGCAGCATGGCACACACTCAGTGCCCTCTGCACATACTGTACTAGAATACACCGTTTTCTGATCTTTCTAGATGCTACCTCATTGGGAAAAGGGAACAGGAAAAACCAATAATCAATTACATTAAGCGATTGTTTTTTATGCACAGGCATGTGCCAATTCAGCCTTGCCTAACTTAATAAAGGCAGGGGCCCCAGGTTTCATGTCCTGAATGCCATTACTTCCTAAAGAAGAAGGATCAGCAGTGCTGCACATGGACAAGGGAGACAGCATCCTGAGACACGGTGTCTGGTCACGTCAGGGAGACTGAGCCGATTTCCTTAACTGCATTATCACGGTTCACAGATCAGCTTCCCTGGGCCGGAAGATACCAATGGGCAAAGGGAAATCAAAATAGATGAACAGGGGAAAAGTTAGGATTTACCAAAAATTACCTTTCAATACGTGCACAAACATGGACTTCAAGTAAAACCAAATGCTTTCCTGAATGTGAGGCTGATTCCCCTTTGACGCACCTCATGGGAAGGAGCGCAAAGGTACCTTAGATTTCTAAGGTCTGCTGATGCTCTCCAAGTCTCGGATTCAGTTATCTAAGCCATTTATTCAATAGCTGAATTCCTTCACATAACAATCATGACTCTGGTTGAAAACCAGTGGCTTCTATGTGCAAAGTGCCAAGCTACACACATCCATACTTACTATTTTATTTAATTATAACTTTTGAAAGTAAAGATTGGTTAACAAAACTAAGCGGTTAGATTATCTGCTCAAGGCCACATGTTTGTAAATGTTAGAGTTGTGATTTAAACTTAGACCACCTGTCTTCAAAACCTATGATCCTAGGCCTCCACCACAATGTCTAAACCAGCAGTCAGTTCCCCTCCACCATGCCCCCCGCCCTATGGCACACTGCTTTAAAAATAGCAAGCC